GTACATCAGATCAGCCTCCTCCCAAACATCCTCCCACTTCGGTTGAGAAACTAATTAAGTGGAAATCACGCCTCTAGCCTATTCTCTCTAAAACATTGAAGCCCTTGGCTAATCCTAAAGAAAAGAACATAGAGTGGAAGAGATGGTTGTCTTGGGCAGTTGCTTCTCTTATTTATAGGCCAATTACATATTTCCAAAAATGCTCCTAGGTTTAGACTTGAACTACTTAGCAACAGGGGGACAAAATGGTCTGATTTGTTTTCCTTGCACCAAATGGCCGCATGCCCTTCATGAAGTCACTTTGCCTCAATGCAAGCTCTACGAAAACACTACGTGCCACCACAAGATCCTCACTTCGCCTGCGGTTTTGACGCCAAAATCACCAATTAACGGTGTAGTGTAAAAAAATTGCGAGGTTATTAGCGTGATATATACCGCATATGGCACTTTGAGACAAGCAAGAGATGAACGTGGAAGAAGCACCGCGAGGAGCTAAAACGGAAGAAGAAAACATGATGGCAGCTAGGCTGATGGATGCAAATGAAATGCTTTGTCTCGTCATCGGCCTAGAAGAGCTTAGGTTTCAGTCGAGTGTGACGTATAGCTTAACTCGTTGGAAATATGCGTTTGTCGTACTATATTTTATCACTTCTCATATAATTTTGTCATTGTTTGGCTAATTTTTTTTATAAATTATCTCTTGTGAATTGCACTTTTAATTGTGTTAGTAATTGTAAGATTGTAATGAAACACAAGACACTGTTCTTTATTTAATAGTAGTAGTATGTAGTATACTCCGTGTATGCAACAAAAATGTTGATAAAGAAACACACTCATTGTTCTAAATTATAAATTGTTTTGGTTGTTTTTGAATATTTAGGTTTTGTTATTACTATATATCTACTAACGATAACGCTACGGACAGGGCATCCATCCGTCTCCGTCCGGCCGGACGCTCGATTGCTGGGCCTGTGGACCGGCCTAGGCAACCGGCCACTCATCTCCACTTCACGTAACTCAAAAAAAGCAATCGTCATTTCCTCACCTGACCATCGCGGCTAACTCCACTGCCGCGCATCCTAGCCACATGTCCGCTCCACCGGCGCATCCTGCCCGCACGGCCGCTCCACCACCGCATCCTGCCCGCGTGGCCGCTCCACAGGCGCATCCTGCTCGTGCGGCCAACTCCACCAGCATCCGGTCGCCACGACCGCTCCATAGTGCCGCCTGCCTTCCGCACTCTACCTCCACCGCGTGGCCCGCCTGCACCACGGCATCCGGCCACCGTGGTCGCTCCATCGCGCACCCGGCCTACCCCAACCCTAGCGATCGGTTGCCAGCTAGGTTTCACCTGTTTTCGATGGTAGTTCGCGCCAGTAGCTGCTACCTTCGCCTCTCCCTCTCCACGGCTGCCGCACCGCGTGCTCCCTCCGCGATAGTTTCTACCAGAGCGGAGAGCTTTGCGCCACCGGCGAGCTCTACACTGGTGAACTCCACGCGCCGACGAGCCTCCATTCCCATGCAGCAAGGAGATATTGCGCTGAAAGCGCACGTTACAAACGTATGTTTCACGTGTTTAAGATGTTTTAGAGGTATGTCGCAAGTGTTTTATGTTGGTGTTGCAAAAGTAAATCGGGATGTTGCACATGTTGCAATGGATATACACGTATATTTCAAGTGTACGTTCCAACTATTTCATCTATTTCAGATGTATGTTGTAAGTGTTTCATTTGGATGTTGCAAAAGTAGATCTGAATGTTGCATATACATGATGTTGTAAGCGTATGTTTTAAGTGTTTTCAGTTGTTTCAGACGTATATTTCGAGTGTTTCATCTGGATGTTGCATATATTTTGCAATGGTCACATGTGTTTTCTCTGGTGTTTCAGACGTATGTTGCAAGTGTTTCAGTTGTTTTGGACGTATGTTGCAAGTGTTTCATCTGAATGTTGCAAAAATAGATCGGGTGTTGCACATGTTGTAATGGGACCCACCTGCTGGGGCGCTGTGCATGCACATGGGAAGCAGAGGGATGGAGCGCGGCGTGGCGCATCCCCGCGCACGGGAAGTGGAGGGGATGGTGGTAGGGGCACGGGCAGTCCCCGCCTGTGCATGCAACAGGGCACAGGCAGTCCCCCTATGCGTGCAGCAGGTGTGTAGCAGTCTTTTTCTATTGATGGGTGGAATAAGATAATGTTATAGGCTGGATAGGAGCTGTGTTCGGATGGCTCCTGGAGCGGAACGTCCGGGCGTTAGCGTCTCCCATCTACTAAATACGATATGTCCATAGAGCGCACGTTTAGTTCCAAAAACTTTTCCTAAAAAGTACTACAGTACCATCACATCGAATCTTGCGATACGTGCATGAAGCATTAAATATAGACGAAAAAAACTAATTGCACAGTTTGGTTGAAAATTGCAAGACGAACGTTTTGAGCCTAATTAGTCCATGATTGAATACTAATTACCAAATAAAAACGAAAGTGATACAGTATCCAAATTTTAACTTTCCCTCCGACTAAACACGGGCAGAGTAGAAAAACCAAGAATTTTAATACGGCCTGAGCGTGCAGGAAACCCACCATCCGACTGCACACTCCTTTTTGGAAACCAACTAACTTGCTTGCCAGATAAGGAAAGAAACGGGCGCGGGAGAGCTCCACAGGCTTAACGGACAAACGCGCGCATAACGGACAAACACACGCAGCTCCCAAGCCAGGCCCACGGGAAAAAGCAGATTCACCGTCCCATCTTCTTCTAAAGTAAGCATTTTATAACTTTCAAATAGTAACGTGTATTCCCCACCAGTTTGGATCTAGAAAATCTCATGCATCGTCTAGAAACCCACAGAACCCAAGATGATCAACAAAATCGCATACATCCAACATTAAGCAAGTAGCAAGTGTTGAGGCAAAAGTATCAACAGTAACAGGTATTCGAAGTCAGTTTAATGCATTTTCTATGTTTCTTCCCTTCGTATCTCCACTCCAAGATTCTTCCTATTTCGACTCTTACTGGTTCCCTTCATATCTTTTGTTGGCCAAGCATTTAATTTTCATTTTAGATAATGAGCTAACTAAAATTGCTTCATTAGCAAAACTAAATTGCTTGTAACTGTTGAAGAAAATGCTTTGTAGGGGTTGAAGTGTTGAGACACATGTACGGGAATTCATCTACAGGACCACGACCCTGCAAACAAGAGGGAAGCCGTTAGGATGAAGGATAGTGAATTTACTAGATTCTAGTTGAGAACCAAGCAAAAGCAATGTTTGACTGAAAATCTGAAAGAAACAATTAACCAACAGAATTGTGCATGCCATTGTTCATTTTCTTGATAAGGAGCCTTGTTCAGTAACCTTCCGACAAGAGCCCACTAGCTTTTAAGGTTATCTATGTGACTATGTAGTTGAAAATGTGTTTCATCTTCCGAGCAGAAGTATGTATAGTAAAGAACAATCACCTTCCAGCATTTCGTGATGGTAAAAGTAGAGTAACAAAAGCATAGCAAGCAGTGATAGAATGAAGAAACATAATGCCGATGAATTGAATGTTACTGTTAATGGATAAGTTTGATTTTCAGTATGTTCATCAGTCCCAAGTTCGATTTTTCTGAATATGCAGATTTACTCATATCTGAAGAGACAAGATTCATTTTGTTTATGTACAAGGACAGCAGAATACTATATCCACACTGCAAATACCACAATCCATATATAATTTTGAAGTACTCGATAAGGTTACAGTGAACTCCATAGAAGATAGAACTCAACTGATTGTAACCAAAGTGAGATGCTAAGTAAACTTGTGTTGCTAATTTCGTTCATTATTCAACGATTGACAGACTGGAGCATCACACACACATGGGGATACTGTTAAGACGAGAGCTTACGATGAGATGTAACTCTTGGCGAGCAGGAAGTATATCCTCCAGAACTGCTTATCCTTCATGTGCCAAGGGCACAGATCGTACTGAATCTTGGAGTTCCTGCACGAGATGAGATCTGCGGGAAACCACCAACCTTAGCTTTGGATAGCAGCACAATCATTTAATATTTGGTTAGATTTGGATTTTCTTATGCCACACCTAGAACCAAACTACCGACATATCTGAAACCCACAAAATTAAGAAATTTTCAAATTAGCTGACAGTAGAGTTCAGAGGGATACCTCAACAGCAACCTTGCAGAACAAAAATTATGCGCTTCAAAATTTACTGAAATAAAATGGAAATAAGCTATGGCTTGGTTAGATAAGAAATGTAGTGAAAGTGAATTGTGAAAAATGAATTGGAAGATAGAAGCTTCACTTGTCTACTTCCCCCTATATGTCAGCTTGTCGGTGTCGGAAGAGAGGTGCATCAATGAACACAAAATCGACTCCATCAATAAATGCATGGGAATAGTTCACTTTTACGTCCTGCAAATCAAAACAAAAGCTAATTATCGTTTGAAAATAAACAAAAGTCAAAATCAACTCCATTAGAAAGTGCGTACTAGCCTGCAAAGAACTTTTGCTCAGAGATCGAGGAAATATGATGATGTAATAGTCATCAGCAATCTAGATGTTTTGTTTTCTTTCAACGCTACAGTTGTACCGAATTCTATTGCTTTCTTAAAAGCAGTTCCAAAAAATACAGTTTGTACATACAGTTCATAAATTGTTGAATCAATAAGAATATAGTTTTAATGAATTTATAATAGACACTGGTTTCGGTTAAAATCAATAAGTTCATTTATTCAAAGCCATTAAATGTAAGAAATAGTGAGTCTGTAAAATGAAGAAAAGAAAAGGAATTGACTTCATTTAGCCCGGCGGTAATTTTTTCTTTGCACGCACACACACACATCTGCCGTTAACAGACGATCCAATGCACCTGCGCTGATGGAAGCCTCTGGACGTCGGCCTTATCACAAGCCCCCTCTGCATTATCTCTCATTTATCTCCTCCCTTTCTCTCCCCTGCCATGCGCTTGTGGACACCCCCTCGCCCTCCGTCTCTGCCATGGTGGAGGGCGAGGACGGGAGCATCGTGCGTGTCTACGGCTCCGACAGCTGCCCCATCGGGTGGTGCATCCACGTCTCCCTCTTCTACAAGGCTGCGACGCCCTTCCACTTCATGCCCCGCCCCCATGAGCCGACTCCCCCTAGTCACTTCGTGCTTCGCCTCTCCGTTGTCAGCGTGGAGGTCTAAGGCACTGTTGATGAGTTGCTGGGCCAGGTGAACGTACGGTTCGAGTGTAAGCCTCGTGTCATCCTGCAGGAGTAGCCTTGCACGGCGTTGCTGTGTGGTCCGGGCTGCCCCACGACCTTGGATCCGGATGGCGTTTTGCTCCTCACCGTGTCACCATCCTAGGTCCTCCTCCAAGCGGGGCCACATAGGCACTCGCTGATCACGTCTTTACAGCTAACCTTGCTCGCCTAAATTTTAGAACTATGTGCACCCATTTCTCCTCATGCCTGAGCTATCAGCCTTCATTTCTAGTTATCTCAATATTATTGCTTTCTCAACCACACTGTTTTAACTAATATATAACCATATTATTGCTTAATTCTTAACACTATTTTGTCTAACAGATGAAATAAAACTAGGAAGACAGGCCAACCCCGAGGCCACAGGCTCGGCCTCGCCCGACCCCGGGGCCGCAGACTCCACCTCGCCCAACCCCGAGGCCGCGGGCTCCGCCTCGCCCAACCCTTGGGTTTGCGGTCCGCCTCACCCGACCCTGGGGCCACAGACTCCGCCTCACCCGACCCCGAGGCCGCGGGCTCCGGCTCGTTCGACGGGGTCCCATACCGCCGTCAACCACTCCAGGTCCAGGCGTATGGCCCTGGGTCAAAGCTCTGACACCAAGGAAGAGACCGGCATGCCCCGATGTAACATGTGGCCATGACAGGCCATGCCTGAGGATTCACATCAAGAACAGCGTCGGGCGTACCGGTGCTGTTCTGCCTAACCCCGTACGAACACCACCACGACGTCCGCTGCGACAGAATGGAATGCCATGACTGGTAGATGACGTATGCGCATGGCGCCAGTGGCGGATAGGGCCGCGACGTGAAGCTGTCCCTGTTGACATCTACAGGGTCGGCGGGACTAGCATGAAAGATAAGAAGGACCCGGCGATCCTGAAGGACTTCCTCTCTCCCTCTCATTCTTCTCTTTTCCTCCGCTGTAACCCGTGCTTTTCCTTGGCCTATAAAAGGGAAAGCAGGGCGTCCCATGGAGGGGATCGACCCATCGAGGACCGATCCGATCTGACCCCGAACTGATCAGATCTAGGCACACACAAGAGCAGCAACCGAGCTCTCGGCACCCTTTCACTCCTTTCACTAGAGACTTGGGACCTGTCCCTCTCTTGCCTGTTTGTAACCCCTACTATAAACTTTCAATGCTAGTAATACGAGCAGCAGCGACGAACTGGACGTAGGGACTTTCTGCCCGAACCAGTATAAACCTTGTGTCCTCTAAGCACGTCATCCAAGCCAGACGCGTAATACTAGAAATTTACTCGTCGGTGATAACTCGAAACACCAACAGAGAGTGAGATAGTTAAGAACATGTGCCAATCCTAAATCAAAACACACTGCAATAGGGGGACAAACTATAGTCACACCCCCTGCGCACAGTAAACCCGGCCCTAAAGAACATCAAGCGTCAAACTATGGGCAAACCATGGTCACAACCTCTGGAGCGACCCTGGATCACACCATGTTGCAAACTATGCGTCTTGATTGACAAGTTATGATATGGAGTGGAGAAAACTTAAACTTGTAAATAAAGGGATAGGTGTGCATGCATGGAGAAGCCAGAAGAACTGCTAGTGGTGAATATAAGAGAGAGGGAAATGTGCCATCAGTCACCATCCACCAAATGCTGCCCAGAGACTTTGGCTAGTGGGCCTGTTCGCTGGTTGATTTCTAGGCTGATAAGTCCGACTGGTGCTGGTTTGTTGTGAGAGAAAAACACTGTTGGCTAGCTGATAAGCCTTGACTGAAACCGATAAGCGAATAGGCTGAGTATATATCATAACCATTTGTTAGCAGAGTTGTTTGGAGAAAATGATGCATCAAGGTTGCTTGTGGAAATTCAAAGACGAAGTAAACGTTATGGGAATTTATATTGACACGGTCAATCGGATGGGATGACCGGGGATAATACGCTATGGCAACGTAGATGACTGTTGCCTTTTCCCCTAGGCATAACATTAATGTTGCTACTCTGCTCTCATCCTGTTTAAATTGAGCCCCTTGCAAAGATCAAGCTCATGCATGGTTACGTAATCTTAATATTAGTCTCTAAGCATAGAAAACCACACATAATGTTTTATATACTTTTGTCTTCAATCCTGTTTGATTTTATCTCTAAGCATACCTTTTCACCTAGGCATAACATTAATGTTTGAATGTTGTACATAGTCATATTTGATTATGGTTACGCAAACTACAAAGTGTCATCAAACTTATCTTTTTAGCACTTAAGTCACTCGTTGGCATACATACTAGTAGATGTTAGTCAGCCTCTGTTCCAAATTGTAAGTCGTTTTGCCTTTTCTAGATACATAGATTTTGCTATGTATCTAGATATGCATTATGTTTAGATAAATACTACAACTTATGTATCTAAGAAAGACAGAATGACCTACAATTTAGAACAGAGTGAGTACATGTTTGGCTGCTTTAAACTAGTCCATCAACCTATGCTCTGACCCTAAAGTCTTATTATCTTATACAAGTATTAAAAAGTTTCATAGATATATTTAGTACACAATGCAACTAATCAAAATTGATCATATTTATTTACTCTCTTTATATTTATTTTCTAACATAATACCAATTTAGACAGTCTATATAATCTCCATCCTGTTGCAACAGATTTACTGATTACTTAATTGATATGTATTTTCATTCTTTGCATTGCATTCCACCTCTATGGGGTTTTAATATGTATTTAGTTGAAATGTTAGTTTAAGTTATGCCTACTCTTGTTACATTTTTTGTGACATTACGAAACTATATTTTGACTTCAGACTTTGATATTATTAGTTGTTTCAACTTTTTTTTAATCCACATGATAAGTTCATACTTAGGTACTTAATATATCTTTGTTCAATAATTTGCATTTATGCTTTATTAAAAATAGATCGTAGCTCCTAAACTCCTATCTTAATTACTACAATAATGGCATAATAAACATCTATTTAGCTAGATAGCCATCTTCCCATCCACAGAACAGCCATGCTGCATTAGTGGAATTTAGTATGGCTATTTGACAAGTTATGACATGGAGAAAACTTAAGTTATGACATGGAGAAAACTTAAACCTGTAAATGAATGTATAGGTGTGCATGGGCAGAAGAATTACTAGTAAATATAAGAGAGAGATGAATGTGCCATCAATCACCATCTACCCAATGCTGCCCAGACTTTGGCTAATATCTTAATCGTTTTATTAGCGGAGTTGTTTGAGAAAATGATGCCTGAAGGTTGTTTGTGGAAATACAAAGATGAAGTAAAAGTTATGGGACTAATATTGACACCATCAATCGGATGGGATGACCGGGAATTATTTGCTTTTCTATATATGGCAACATAGATTAATGTTACGCTCTCATGCTAAATTGTAATTCGCTTAGGGTTTCTTAATATTTATCCTTTTTATGCCCCAAGATAAACTCAGATTTATGGATAGTTTAGTAAACACAAATACACAATACAACTAATCAAATATTATATTTATACACACTTTCTATGGAATAAACTCCCTATTTGTCTTAAATGCCTAGTTTTGTATATGCATGCTTTTCCTTCCACCATAATACATACACTTAGGGGATCTTAGCTTATATAATTTGAGAGTCAAGCTTTGTGATTCAAGCACGGCAAGTGTATTCCCTCCGTTCTAAATTATAAGATATTTTGACTTTTCTAAATTCGTAGTTTTTATTATACATTTAGATATGCACTATGTTTAGAAATATAGTAAATTTGTTTTGCGAGAAGAAACATTGTAAAATTAATGTATCAAGAAAAGTTAAAACATCTTATAATTTAGAATGTAAGAGTATTAATATTGATTGTATGATGAGTTATAGTTTTGGGCCCCTAAAACGGCCCGTTCCCTATCACGGGCCGCACGCAATGACGCAACTGTGCACGGCCCTGGATGTGATGATTGCCGGATTCGAAGGATCTCGTGAACGTCACCCGGCCTGAAGTATCGCTCCAGAAACTGCTCACGCCAGACGCCACTTTCCCGTGAAGTTCTTTGGCACCGATTCCAAGGAATCCAGGAGTCACGCCAGATGCGAAGCGATTTGACCAGGTGTAAGCAGAGGGAACCGGAGCAGACCAATACTTGCAAATACACCTCTCTTGATCATTTCTTCGCATGTAACTGCAGTCGCATTCAAGTAATGCCCTTGATTTCACCAGTTTTGGCTTATGCTTTTTTCTCCCCTGTGCCAACACGGCATATGAATATACGGGTCCCTGCCAGGGAAAAGATGAGAGGGGGGCCTTTCCGCCTTTGTTTATCGGGTTTGCTAGCGCCCAGAAGTCTAGACGGACGATGCGTCCCAAAGCCCACGCCTGTAGCCATTTCCCAAGTCCACGTGAGGCCTGCGCTGCCCTGAACGTCACGAGCATCGAGAGGAGGGGGCAGCAGATGCCCAGCCAGCGCTGTGAGGAGGAGGAGACACCGAGGCGAGGCAGCAGAAAGCTAAAAGGGAGATGCAACACCCGTTCTACTTTTAAAACATCCAAATACAACACTTGTAACATAAGTCTGAAGACATATTAAACACTTGAAACATGCATATGAAACACTCGAAAAAACACATGAAAAACACTTGAAAACCATTGTAAAACATACGTGACATCTAGATAAAACACTTGCAACATATATGTGTGAAACATATGCAATATCCAAATAAACGCACTTGCAACATACGTTTGAAAAAAACAAATAAAATATTAGGAAAAGAAGCTTGCAACATACATGTACAACCATTGCAACATCCCAATCTACTTTTGCAATATCCGCATAAAACACTTGCAACGTACATCTGAAACATACATTTGCAACATACGTTTTTCACCCTTCTTCCGTACGACGTAGCGCAGGACAGGGAATGAGCAGGCGGAGGGCAGCGCCATCACGGCCCCTTCTAGAGGCAAGCAGAGGGGGCGGCA